GCTGGTGGGACTGCAAACTAGTGCAACCTATGTGGAAAGCAATATGGAGATACCTTAAAGAGATACAAGTAGAAGTACCATTTGATCCAGCAATCCCATTACTGGGCATCTGCCCAAAAGAACAAAAGACACTCTATGAAAAAGACACCTGCACCCGAATGTTTATAGCAGCATAATTCACAATTACAAAAATGTGGAAACAAACCAAGTGTCCATCAATACACGAGTCGATTAATAAAATGTGGTACATGTATACTGTGGAGTACTATTCAGCTTTAAGAAACAATGGTGATATAGCACCTCTTGTATTTTCCTGGAGCTGGAACACATTCTACTAAGTGAAGTATCCCAAGAATGGAAAAACAAGCACCACATTTACTCACCATCAAATTTGTATTAACTGATGAATGCATAAGTGCACATATAAGAATAACATTTATTGGATGTCAGGGAGGGGGGAGGAGGGGCTGGGCATACGCATACACAAAGAGTGTGATGCTCACCATCCAGGGGATGGACACACTTGAAGCTCGGACTTGGGGAGGCAGGGGGGGAAAGGGCAACATACGTAACCTAAACATCTGTACCCCTATAATATGCTTAAATAAAAAAAAAATAGAGAAATAAATATATAAATAAACAAACAAAAAATCAATTGATCATAAATGTATGAATTTATTTCTGGGTTCTCCTTTTTGTTCTACTATGTATGTTTTTATGCCAGCACCATCCTGTTTTGATTACTATAGCTTTGTAGTATATTTTGAGTAAGGTTGTGTGATGCCTCCAGTTTTTTGCTTCTTGCTCATGATTGCTTTGACTATTTGGGGTCGTTTGTGGTTTCATAGGAATTTTAGGATTGTTTTTTTCTATTTCTGTAAAAAACGTCTTTGGAATTTTGACACGGATTATATTAAATCTGTAGATCACTTTAGGTATTATGAACATTTTAACAATTTTAATTCTTCTAATCCATGAACATGGCATTTCTTTCCATTTATTTGTGTTTTCCTTAATTTCTTCCATTGAATGTGTTATAGTTTTCAGTGTACAGGTCTTTCATCTCCTTGGTTAAGTTTATTCCTAAGTATTTTTTTTATTGTATTGTTATTGTAAATGGGATTGTTTTCTTGATTTCTTTTTCAGATAATTCATTGTTATGAATTATAGTGAATTAAGAGATGCTACTTAATTTTTCTATGTTAATTTTGTATCCTGTAACCTTACTGAATTTGTTTATTCATTCCAACAGTTTTTTGGTAGACTTCTTTTTAAATTCTTGAACATATTCATAATAGCTATTTAAAAATCCTTGTCTGGTCAGTCCATCATATCTGTCATTTCTGGGTCTGCTTTTATTGACTGATTTTTCTCTTGATTATCATAATTGTCCTGCTTTCTTATATATCTAATAATTTTTTACCAATTGCTAGATTTTGTGAATATTACATTCTAGAGTGTCTATATTTTGTTCTTTATTTAAAGAATGTTAAATAGGCAGTAAAGAATACTTGGCAGGCAGTAAAGTATTAATAACTTCACATTACTTTGTTTCTATCAAGGCTTAGTTTTTAAGCTTTGTTCAGGTGAATCTATAATAACCTTTACTGTAGGGATAGTTTATTCCCTCGGACTCTTCTGTCACCTGTACTAATGCCTCAAATGTTTGTTCTACCCTAGCTAGGTAGAGCTTGAACATCTCCCAGTCCTGTAAAAGCTTTAGAGATTGTTTCACCTACAATTTCCCAGCAGTTATTTGCCCAACCTGATGGAGTTTCTCTCTATGCATCTACAGTTTACTATTAAGCAATAGACTCAAGGGGCCTTCTATCCTTATTTCTGAAGTTCTTCTTTGCACAGCTCCCTCCTCTCCAGCACTCTGGCCCATACATTTCAGCTGGCTCAGCCTGCCCAAATTTTGATCTGTCTTTTCAACTCAATGAATCTGTTATGCTTTGTTTAGGTTATTCTTACCTGCACTGTGGTCTGGAAAGGTCCTCTAGGCAGAAAACTATTGTGATTGCAGGACTTCCCTTGTTTGCTTCTGTTCTTGCCTTTATCACAATTCTGTAGTGTCTGAAAAGAGATGCTTTTTATATATTTTGTCCTGATTTCTAGGACTTTGTGGTGGTTGATGAATTCCAGACTCAGTCATTCTAACATAGCCAGAGTAGAACAATGCTACGAAGTTTCTAAAACTTTGCAAATAAAAAGTGAACTCCTAGAATGGTTGTTTCTGTGATGGAGAGAGTATTAAAGAAGGGACTTAGAGGCAACTATTTAACTTCTTTCTTGCCAGAAGCTTAAGAAATACATTATATTTAGAAGCATTTTCTTCTCGATTTGAAAATGAAATGCAATGGAAATATTTATTTTTTGAAAATTAGAAAAAGTTTCAACTTTAGGTTTATACTTCCCCCATAAATATAGGTTAATTAGACAGTTTTACAAATATTGCAGTATTATTAATTAGGATCAATGATGATGATGGAGTATCTTCTCCTGCTGCTGACAATATTTGCTTAGGCACCTCTTATGTACCAGGCACTGTTTTAGACACTTTATATTAATTATCTTTACTTTTCCACAACAATTCTGCAAGTTAGAAATCATGATCCTGAGAAACTCAGGGAGGTAAAGTTAGTTTCTGAAGTTCACTCACTAAAAGTAAATACTCCATGACTAAATTACTCAGTGATAGGCTGGTGGCTGGAACTGGGAAGCAATCTCAGCTCCCCATTAACAACGCCACCTCCCATTATTCTGCTGCTCTCTGATTCTATCTTTACCTGAGCTTTTCCATCTGGCATACTAAAGTGGAAAACAGCAAACTCCCTGCCCAGAAAGGCTGTTATTATATAGATGTTTTGCATTATTTTGCTTTGAATAACAGCATATGTAAATGTACTCCTGGGGGCTAACAGTACCCTTATTTTGTAGAACTTGGCCTCTCCCACTGGGGCAAATAGTTGAAAATTATGGGGAGGAGAAGGCAGGCTGGAGAGAATATTAATTGACTTGGGATTTCTTCTCCTCCTTTCCCCCCACCCAACACATATTTCTATTCAGATATAAGCTGCCTTGGCAGATTAAGATTAGTAAATTTCCTATCATGGAGTCCTAGCTGGTTCTGAGATTTGGTGTCAGGAGTGCACTAATCCAGATGTTAATCACGAACTCTGCATCAGGTTGATGTGTATGGGCAGATGTTCTTGCTGCAAAGAATAAAAGCCTCCTGTGGCACCTCGAAGATCTTATCCATATGTGGTACCCAGCCAGTTAACATGGACACTGTTCTGCTTCTAGCCATCTACCTCTGTTCAGAGGTTGGCTTATCTCCCTGACTTCGGCTCTTCCATGGGCCCTGCATTGTTGAGCCATCTCTATCTTAAACTGCCTTTCCTGGCATTTGAATCATTACTTCGATGATGTGATAATATCTTCAAGTTGGGAAAATAAAAATGGCATTTGTTTAGCCATAATTAATGAAATATTTATGTTGCATGAGACTATGTGATAAAACCTTAGGCTTAGAGTCCTTTTGCTTCTGATTACATTTGGGATTTTTTTTTTCTATGACCAGACATTCTGACGCCAGCTCTTTTACACTGAGCAGATGTCATGTAGTAAAAATGGGTGCCAGATGCTGTGAGCCGCAGAAGGGCGATTTGTTTAAGAGCCGGCTCCAACTTTTTTTACATTCAATTACTCTGCAGAATGAACCTTACACAAGCATTTAGGTAACTCAGCTAACTTTGGACGTGCATTTTAATAATAGATTTCCTCTCTGAATGCATTCAGAGCAACACACCATATAAATGGTGTTTAAGGAATTAATTGATTTCTGCATAATACCTTGTTTTTTTTTTAATGTGAAAAGAGAGCTGTAAAGCTCTTGGCAGGGACCCAGAAATGTAATTAACGTGGAGGGCCAAATTTTCAGTTGCCCTTAGGTACTGCCTTCTCATACTCATGGCAGGTGCAGGGAGGGAAGAGCAGGGAGGAAGGGGACTAGGGTAAGTGGGGAGGGGAGGGGGCAGCTTTGGTTCATGAAGCAAGAAACGAAGCTAGCAGGTCAGTGAGTTTTTCTGTTCCCATTTCAGGCTCCAAGCACACCCCCATCAGAGCACAGGTAACAGAGGCTGCCTCTTCTACCAGCTCCTCCTCTGCAGATGAAGAATTCGATCCCCAGCTTTCCTTGCAGTCAAAGGTAACAACACTTGGTCAACCAAAGAGGGACTTGGCTGGTGGGAGCTGTTTACCATCCAGAATTCAGACCCAATGTGGGCTCCAGCTGCAGGGGTTTCGTTAGGATGATCACGTTTCATTGCCTCTGACAGAGTGCTCTTTTTACCTGGAACAGCCCAAGAATTATCTCTTTAATAAAAAAAAAAAAAAAAAAAAAACTTTTAGAAGCTTGCCTTTCTCAGAGACCCAAATTGGGGAGGGAAAAAAAAAGAGGCATATTTAGTCGAAACCATTTGGTGACTGCGGCTCTTAAAGTGGATTTAATATGTAGTCCAACAAGCAAACCATCGAAAATATTACAACAAGCAGATGCATATTTCCCTGGGGGAAGCACAGCTTCATTTAAGAAGCACTAGAGGCAGATTGCATGGAAAATGTTATGTTTGTTCTAATCAGAAATATGAAATGAACCATGCAGTTGCATCTAGACATGGATACTCCAAGGGTCCCTACTGTGGAAGGGACAAGCCATGTGCCAGCTGGGAGACAGCCGTCCCCTTTGCTTAGTGAACATTAATGTTTCTGGAGAACTCTTTAAACAACTCTCTCCCCATAGATGGGAAACGCAGGCATTGTTATATGTCTGTAATTGTCTGTATATCATGTTCACAGAGATAGGCATCCCACAACCAAAGCCCACTGTGGTTTTCTTCACCCGCTAGGGCTGGAGCTTTTTCACTGGGACAGTGGAGAGTGGGAGGGACTGAATGGTTGGACCTGAAATGCTTCCTGGGTGGACAGAGATGTGGGTCACTGCTCTGGTAGTGTTTATTTTTTGGAGCAGTGAGGATCTGGGGAGGGAAGGGGAGAACCAAATTTATTTACTTAGACTCAACTTTTCCATATCTGGCGTTAGTAGCTTTGGCGTCATCTCAAGTCACTCGGGGGTTCCAACTCCTCATGGCCCAGCTTACAGCAAGGCAGGAAGGGCCTGGGGTGCGTGCGTGTGTGTGTGTGTGTGTGTGTGTGAGAGAGAGAGAGAGAGAGAGAGAGAGACAGAGAGAAAGAGAGAGATATTAAGGAAGAGAGAGAACATGTATGCGTTTCTCATTTCTAATTGTGGGCATCTCTGATTAGTTCAGTACTCAACACAAATGAATTCTGTGTGTTGCATTGATTTCTGCGATTTTCTTAATGCCCCTCTCACCCCTTTGAGTGACCCTGAGTTAATTCTGTATTCAAATGAGACTAAGATCTCAGCATTAGCCATCTCAAAACTTATGGAGAATAAATGAATAGAGTGGCCCAAACACATTGAAATAGTGAGACCGCGGTGTCTAGGACCACCCTAACAAACAGCTCCTTGTCCTCCTCCTGGCCCAGAACAGAGCCAGTCCTCATTGAGGCTTGCCAGGTGGTAAGGCATGCCCACCTCACCTGGCTTCCAACCTGGCCCGCTCTTACAGGAAGGGAACCTGGCAAGGGGATTTCTTCTTTACGACTTCTCGAGGGCTCGCACTGATGGAACGAGGGGAGGTTTTTGTCCTCTGGGTTCTTTGTCTCTTCTGTCCCATGCAGGTGTGTTTGTCCCCAGCCAGGTGGCACAGAGCCCCTGACAGCTCAAATGAACCTTAGCACAGGAAGCTGGAGACAGGCCATGTCCTCTCTGCCTCCTCCCTGTGCCTCATCCCTCCCCACTACCGCCTCTCTCTCACCCTGCGGCCTGGATCTAAGAGACCAGGCCAGGAAGAGACGTCGCAGCTTGTCCTTGACTCAGCCAGGTTTCTTCCTCATCCTTTCTTGTGTCTTTTCTTCCTCAACCCCTAGCCCCTTTACCATCCCTATATTGAGGATATAGGAACTGTGCTGGCATGTTGTAAGGCAATGTAAGTGTTTGTTAAAGCACTCTTCCTTTCCATGCCAACATCTTTTTAATAAAAGGCAATAAATGACTTCTTTCCTCCTCCGGGGTCTGTTTTGCTGACTCTTGATGAAGCAGTAAGGGTCCGACAGCTTTGCTGCTGAGAAGCACTAAGACGGCGTGATGCTGTCGAGGCAACCCCCTTGAAACTGTATTAGACTTTGTTTAGGGGGAAACATTGACATGTCTCTAGGATCCACTATAGAGGGTCCTTGTTGTGCCCGAGCAGTATTTGGTATGAGGAGACGCAGTATAGACTAGACAAAATGTGTGTACTAGAGTCAGCTACCTGCGCTTCACTCCTGGCTCGACCTGTTACTAATTGCATCATCTTGGGCAAGTTACTCACCTCTCTGAGTTTTTATTTTCATATCTGTAAAATAAGTGCAATTTGAGGAATAAATGAGATGATACTTGTGAAGCAATTAGTACAGTGTCTGGCACATAGCACTCAATAAACACTAGGATTTATTATGTAGGTCAGTATGATGGAAGCTTGAGATACTTGTTAAATGAATAAACTGATTCTCTGTATACATTGAGCTAGACAATGTCTGGATAACAGCTACCATTAATACCCACCACCTCCCCATGACTCCAGCCTTTCCAGAAAAGTCCTAGCTGCTTGTTGGAGGGGTCCTCCATGCAAAAGGCCTGGAATATCCATTCAGAGTGATTGACAGTCAATCTGGAGGTCATCCCCTAGAAACAGAGATGATAGGATGTGGAATAAGCTGAGTTCTGACAGCCAAAAGAAGAAGATCTTTAGGATTCTAGATTCTAGGAGAATTCTAGAAAACAAAGTTTTATCATTGAGAGTCATGTTTTCACTAATGATATGTAGAGGTTCTAAAGCCTCAAAGCTGCATGTTTTCTTAAGGAGAGAAATGGTTTCTCCGTCCATGTCCGTGGGATGAGTGAGAAAATGACAAGGACCCACAAAGCGCTGAAACACACATGCTTTCAAGGTCCAATCTCTGACCTTTGTTTTGGACCCAGATTGCTCTGGCAATATCAAGGGTCAGGCTGTTGGGTCTCTATTCCCCACTTACAGCTTTATCAGCATTTAATGAGCAAACATTCAGTTCAACTATAGTTAGTGAATGCCCAGGCACCAGGCTAGCTACAACAATTTTTAAATTCCATATTTGTTTCTGCCAGCATTAAAAGGAAATCTCTAGCATGCTCTAATCCTCATCCTAATATGTAGAAAGCTAATGTGTATGCTCAGAGAAGGCAAACTGAGCTAGTAAAACTAGCCCAATTTGAACATCTATTTTGTACATACAGGATGTGTGTGTATATACCTATTCACACACAGATGAAAAGTAGATTTTAGCAAAAAGTCACAATCATATTAATGTATGATATAATACAATAGACATACTAGTAAAAACCATGCTATTGACTATTTGTCCCATATCTCTTTCAAGTACCTACAAAGGGCTTAGCCTGTGTTATCTCATTTAATCCTTATTGTCTCCCTGCAAGGTAGGCTTTAAATCCTCATTGCTCCGAAGAGGACACTGAAGTTCAGCAAGTCGTGCTGACATGCTGAAGCTCACACAGCCCAGCTGGGACTCGACGCCAGCCTTGCCCGGCTCCTGGGCCCAGTGCTCACACATTACTCTCTGCTGTTTCTCCGAGCAGAAGTGTCTCCTGAACTTTCCAATGTGTAGAACTGGCCACACCATCACTTCTCCTTTCTCTGGTGCTTCAAGCCAGGAAGTGGCACCATCAAGATCCAGACATCTATTTCGCATGCATAAATGTTGAATTTTTTTAAAAATAAGTCCAGGAACACATGAAACCCAGAAACAGTAATGCTGAATTTGTATAAGCAAAGTGAAGACGGGAAGGGAAGTGATCTCAGGCCTCCCTCAAACCAAGAAGCACTTTGGTTTGAATTATTTAGATCCGTCCCTCTAGTACCAGGTTTAATTAGGCACTGCAGACCCAACCTAAGTACTATCTAAATTGTTAACTGGTTTTCATGCAGTGAGAGTGTGTACGTCTGCCTGCCTGCCTGCCTGTCTCCCAGATCCTTCATCCCTGAGCTGTATGGTAGCACCCACGTAAAGTATAATTCTTGTCTTATTCCCTCTCTCAACTGAACCTAGTCAGTACTCTGTAAAGCAACTCCTATATATGCTTACACCCCCTGCACACACGCACACACACACACACACACACACACACCAGCTTTCCAATCTGGCACCTACCAGCAACATGTGGCTACTTAAATTTACATTTAAATTCAATAAAATTTAAAAATCAGTTCCTTACGCTCACCTCATTACAAGCGTCCAATAGCTATATGTGCCTTGCGCCTTCCATATTTAAACAGCATAGATAGAGATCATTCCCATCATTGCAAAAAGTTCTACTGGATGTCATTATCCTAGAAGCAAAGTAGTAGTTAGGAACCATTGGTTGGAGAGGACAGAAGCCTATGATGATATTTTATAAATTCCAACCCCATTTTTCTCAGACATATTTTTTTCTTCTCCACTGGTTTTCACAGGAAAAGAAGACACTTAGAAGACGACGGAAGCTGGAAAAAGCAACGAAGCAATTGGTTAAGCAAGAAGAATTGAAAAGACTCTACAAAGCTCAGGTCAGAAAATAGTCTGAGTGAGGGGGCCTGGGTCTGGGGTCCCAGATGGAAAGAGCTCTGAGAGTCTGTATGGTAATGGGGGTAGCAAGCTGGAGGAGGGCCAGGCGCTCTTCTCTGAGGGACCGGGTTTGCGACCACTCTAAGGGCCCTGGCTCAATCCCCAGTGGGGCTGGGACCTGGAGAGCCCCGGTGCTGGGCTGGTGCATTCGTAGTCGCCTGTCCCTCTGCAGACATGTGCTCTGCAAAGTGAGGCTGGGACCGGGGCCGGCGCATCGACCCTCACTGCCACAGAGCAGTGACCTTACTTCTGTCCTCTGTGAGGACATAAACCTTCCACCGACTCCTTGATAGTGTCTTTGCTAAACTGTTAAAGGCTGTCTCCATAACAAGGTTACTTGAAATCCTAAGTATCCAGCATTCCAATATAGATTTCCTTGCCTGATTGCTTCCTTCAAACATTTCTGCCCAAGCTCATCTGCCCCCCTCTGTCCACAGACAGGCGAAATGGAGCAGAAAGTCAAGGTATTCTCCATGTCCCTGAGAACCCTGACCCTGGTCTTGAAGAACAGTTCAGCTTTAGGACCTAAGGACTGAGAATGAGCATGTTAATCCAATGTCCTCTTACATCTTTTTTTCCAGTTATTCCTTGTATCTGGCCGTGTGGTCCTCAAGATATTTCTGACAAGAGTAAAGTCATTTAACCCAACCTCCTTTGCCCTTGCCAGTAGTGGGCTCAGTAGCCACCCCTTTCGCCAAGTGGACGGGGAAACTCCCACGAACTCCCCTCTGTCCACCCACAACTTCCCAAATAGATTGCCCTGAAACATTTCAACTTTTCCTTCTAAGAACAAGACAAGTCTTATGATATCGATTGGCAAACCCGTCAATTTCTCTTCCTTATACTTTCACTCCAGACAGTAGATGGTGACGAGAAAAATTACAGTGGCCTTTTGCGTCCTCACCTGCTGGCACCCAGACTGGCCCTTTTCAGTCTTTGGGACTTTCACCCTTCCTTTCTAAGGAACGGCCGCTGTGCTAGTCTGCTTGGGCTGCCATTACAAAACACCACGATGGGTTGCTTAAACAACAGAAATTTCTCTTCCTCACGTTCTGGAGGCTAGAAGTCCAGGATTGAGGTGCCATCAGGTTTGGTGTCTGCTCGGGCCTCTCTTCCTGGCTTGTAGACAGCTTGTTCTTACGTGGCCTTACGTGGCTGCGTGACTACGTGGAGAGAAATATCTCTGGTATCTCTTTCTCTTCTTATAAGGACACGGTCCTATGAGATTAGGACCCCACCCTTATGACCTTATTTAACCATAATTATCCCCTTAAAGGCCCAATCTCCAAATACAGCCGCATTTCAGGTTAGGGCTTCAACGTATGACTTTGGGGAGGGTTTTGGGGGTGGGGGACACAATTTGGTCTATAACAACCACATAGCTGTCATTGCACAGTAGTCAGTAATAAAGTCATGTAAGCCTTTCACTTTAGCGATCCTACACCATACCAGCAAGAGAGATGGATGTGTAAAGATACAATTGTCTTGAAAAGAGAGATGAGAGGAAAAGAGTGTAAAATTACAAGTCATTTTAAAGAGAATCCCCATCTACTGTAGATTTTATGTTTGGGGCTTAAACTCTCATAGCTGGGACAAGAAGAGTCAGGTGGCTACTCAGGCCTGTTCCCTGCTTGGCTCTCTTCACAGGGTTAGGGGGGCCTCAGTTACTATACCCATGATTCCAGGGGAGGTTTAGAAAGACGTGGGGTTAAGGAGAAAGGGGAATGAGACAGAGCTGAAATAAGGCACAGGGGGAACACAGGCATTCTGCCTGCCCAAACAGGTGACAATTCCTTTAATATACCTGTTCTACTAGGTGCAAATTCTGTTCTGCCAAGAGAAATGCCTTTTAGCAGCATGTTGTTTGAAAGCAGAAAAAATTGATTGGAACGAACAAAACTTATAAAGGAAAGGCTTTCCCCCAATTTTCCTTCCTAATATGTACAAGGGAGTAATATTAATAGCTAGTAAAGAAAATAAATATGTAGTTGCAAACCCAGTCATGACCCCAAACCTTCATGGGTACCTGTGGTGAGTCTAAAGAGAGTATGAGGCTGTCCCGTAATGGGTTAGACATCTTGTGTCTTGTCTTAATAACCTACTAGTAACAAAGCCATAGTCCATTGCTACAATGAAAGAACTTGTGGTGCAATGAAAGAATAGGTACACTTTGTAGATGAGGACAGGAGTAGGACAATCGGAAAAAAGAATACCAAGCCTCAAGAGTTGGCCCAGGTCTCCTGCTCCAGATCGACTTCTTAAGATTTATAGGCTGGTGGTTCTTAGGGAAATCGAATATGAGCGTACTCTGTGTTTGCCCCTGGAGCCTGTAGCCTACTCTGGGTTGTGGCTGCAGCTCCGGTCATTATTTCGTGACCGTAGTCAGAGGCTGTGGGCTCCGAAGAGGAGTCCAGGAGCCATGAGCACCATTCACCTATCCCAGCAGCCTCTGTCTTAGAGGACATCCCTGTGATTGGTCTTGTAAAAGGGACTGTTTTAACATCTACTTGGGACAGATTGAACATACACACAGATTCCTTGCTTTATGTTTCATCCTAAAGAAGGGAAACATCAGGTCTAGTTGTTTGTGAGTTCAGGGGTCCTTGCGCAGTTGGTCCAGGCAGGACCATCTGAGCGAAAGGGCCTCTCTCTCCTGGAGAGTGAGTGGCAGGATCAGCTCCTGTGTGTGGAGAGTCCCTGTGTGACGTGTGGTCCTGGTGTTGCAGGCCATCCAGAGGCAGCTGGAGGAGGTGGAAGAGCGGCAGAGGGCTTCCGAGATCCAGGGCGTGAGGCTGGAGAAGGCGCTGCGAGGAGAAGCAGGTATGGCATCCCTGCAGAGACGGAGCTGTGGGCGTGGTCTGAGGGTAGAGCTGGGCTGACCATCTGGGCAAAACGGTGGGACCTTGTCACCCCTGTGGATCTGTCAACACAGACATGTGGTGCTAAACGCACAATTGCCGCAGTCTTTAAAAATCAAACTGGTGGTCCGATCTGTAATTTCTAGGGGCATCAGTCAGCCTGTGGGCCTTGTAACCGGGTTCCTGTTCTTCCCGGCCTCTCTTCTGGCGAGCGTGAATGTTCTTTGCAATTCGGGGGTTAAGATAAATTCAGAAGTATTTGGGTGTTCAAGCAATGTTGGTGGCGATTCAAAGCCCAGAGTTAGAGTCAAAGTCCTTGTTTTTCCTTTACTATGACCTTGGACCAGTCATGTTAAAAATCTTTATAAACTTTCATTTTCTCATCTAAAATGGTGATAATAGTGGTTTTCTCCCTTATAGAGCTAATATAAGGATTAAAGACGGAATTAAAAATGATGCTTAGGCCGGACGTGGTGGCTCATGCCTGTAATCCTAGCACTCTGGGAGGCCGAGGCAGGCGGATCCTCTGAGCTCAGGAGTTCGAGACCAGCCTGAGCTAGAGTGAGACCCCGTCTCCACTAAAAATAGAAAGAAATTAGCTGGACAACTAAAAATATATATATAGAAAAAATTAGCTGGGCATGGTGGCACATGCCTGTAGTCCCAGCTACTTGGGGGGCTGAGGCAGGAGGATCGCTTGAGCCCAGGAGTTTGAGGTTGCTGTGAGCTAAGCTGACGCCACGGCACTCTAGCCCAGGGAACAGAGTGAGACTCTGTCTCAGAAAAAAAAAAGATGCTTAAATTAGCACATTACCTGGCCCAAGGTAAAGCAATAAATGGTAACTATTCCACGGATGGCTTTGGATTCCTAGATTCAAACAGAATTCATCTGGTGAAGACCTACTGTGTGTTAGACATTAAGACCCTGGGTCTGTAACAATGAGTGTGACGCAGTTTCTGCCTTGAGGAGTTTACAGTGCATCGAGAGATACAGATGTGTAAACAGATAAACCACGGTGGAGTGTGACAAGTGCAGTGAGAGGAACAAGCATTAGGGTACAGCGCGAACAGAACCAAGAGGGTCCGGACTGATCCTGGAGGGAGGGGAGCCATCAGGCTAGGCTTTCTGGAAGGATGACACATAAGCCGAGAACCAGAAGAGGGACAGGAGTTAACCAGTGAGGCGAGGAGACTGTTCTGGCAGAGGGCACGGCACCTGCAAAAGCCAAATGTGAACAGACATGAAGTATCTTAACAAAGGAGGAGTCAGCGAAGGGTTTTCGGGTAAGAAATGGCTTAAAGAAATCTACATTTTTTGGAAAAACCCTCCAGGAGCAGTGGAGCTAATGAATTGGAGGAGCCCTTAGAGTTTGTTGGAGGTATTGTCTCTAGTGTTATGATGCGATGTCTTCAGCCCTCTGTGTTTGAGATATAAAATGTGGAAAACCAAACACTGAAAACACACAGCTCTGTGTGCAATAATGTAAACAACCGGTTACCTGTTATGTAACAAGTGAAAGGTTAGGAGTTCAGGTCTTTTAAAAGTTCAGTCATTTGAGAGTGATGAAACTGGCAGGAGCAGCCCCGGACTGCCTGAGGCCGGAAGCTCATACAAGGTCCCGCCTGCAAAAGTGCGAGGGCTGCTCCCCGAGCTGGCAAGGGCAAGTCCATGCAAGGGCCCTGCGGTTTCAGCTTCATTCGCTGTGTGGCTAATGTATCACTGATACCAGGGAAACGGTGGAGTCAGACTTTACCCCCTCTGTGCCTCAGTTTCCTTGTTTATAAATTGGGAGTGATGATCACACTGTTTCTTGCATTTGTGGTGAAGATTAGCTGAAACAATTGATGTAAAACCCCTGGCCTAGTGCCTGGCATGGAGTAGATTATTAATCAATGTTTGTTCCTTTTTTTTTTTTTTTCACTAAAATACACTGTGGATTTTCTTGAAAAGATAACCCAATTTCACTCATCAGAAGACCTTCTTGCTGCTTGGAATGAGAGTCACTGCCTGTCTCTGCAGCTGCTATTGGGACTTTCAGTAGAATGAACTGCCCTTGCTTGGTGGTTGGTCCTATTCCCAATCAAGAAGGTTCTGGTACTTGCCTTTAGGAATCTGCCGATTGCAGTGAGAGCATTAGAAATGAAAAGGAAAAACCAGCAAAGCTAGGGCATGTCAGTTTGCCATGAACAACACGTTGCCAACATCATGGGAATCAAACAGCCTTGCGTTCAGGTTCCGTTCCACTCCATTTAGGCTGTATAGTCCTGGGAAAATCACTTAACCTCCCTGGACCTAGATTCCTCATCTGAAAAATGGAGATAATACTCCCCATATTACCCGGTCATTTTTGAGAGTTAGGGGTGTGGGTGGGCAAAGTGTCTACGAGAGCATCTACTACATTGTACCCATTCAGTAAACACTATCTAACATTATTTAACAAAATATTAAGTATCTACATACATACACGTTTAAAGAAATGTCTCTCTAATCTTTGCTGCTTGAAATTTAAATTATAGAAACCAAAATTTTAAAGCATCTTTTGAAAATCTCCCTCATCCTCCAAATATAAAAACATAAAAGAAAGAAAAGAAAAGAAAGGGCTATTCTGAGTTCTAGCTAAAGAAACCTGGCCACCTTGTGGTGTTCTCAAAGGTGCGCCAAACCAGCCGGAAGATGGATTCTACTCATTCCCTTTATATCGCTGGTAATTTAATTCCCCTGGTAAGTTCATAGGCCTTTCTACCTTGCTTGTCCTTGCGTGGGTGACAGATGCAGCTCCACAAGGGGCTGGAGACCATGAGAGTCGAGTCAGGGACACTGGCCTCAAAGGAAACCATGTGCAAGATCTGCAAACCAGGCATCAGAATTAATACACTCCAACTTGTAATAACATTTGTGCGATAATAATATTCCTTTGTGGTTTAATATTCTATTCAGTCCCTTTAAGAGATTGCCCTGTTGCTTAATGAATGACCAATGCTTATTAGGTTAAGCTGTATTTGAGCTGGCCTGTGCTGCTCCGGTTCAAGTGACTTAATGGGAATTATTTAATAGGTATTATTAGGATAATTAGAAAATGATCACAGTTAGACAATAATATTGAGCTATAAAGGTTGTGAATAACCAAATTTAGAGACAGGCCTGCAAACACGAGTAGTCTGCGACAGTTACGCAAGGCTCCTCTAATAATTATGTAGGCAGCCTGAAAGGGTCTTTTGTTCTAAGAGTTATTCATTAGGCGGGCATTGAATTAGAGGAACATGCGGGGGTGCGGGACAGAGAGGGGGGCAGTGATGGCTGATGAGCAAAATGAGGCTTTGATGAGCTCCTTATTGCCGTGACAACAATTACTGCTTTCTTCTTTCCCAGCAGTCAGAAATAAGCTCTCCCACCCCCAGGTTCCCCATTTTGTCAAGGAAAGGGTAACAAAGAAAAACAAAAATCTCACAATCCACCCAGATGAGAGATCAATATGTTTTGCGGGGTGTGTGAATGTGTGATGTCTTTGCCAAAGGGCGCAGAGTCCCTCGTGGTCCTGGCTGCCCAGGTGAAGGACAGGATACTCAGGAGCCTGGGTCCCTGGGGCACCCCCACCTTCCAGGAGGAGGCCAAGCCACTCTGCCAAACACTTAGGCTCTTCTTGGTCCAGGAGCCGTTTGTTAGGTTGGTTAGCTGTCAATGTGGTGATCACTGTTACATACTAGGGCCACAGAATACCCCAATTTAGCAAGAGACCACCATCCAAATTTGCATGGTCTGGATAACAGAATCTGTGCTTTCTTTCAATACCCGGAGATGGATAAAATCTGATGAAAATGAAGAGCAGCTTCGAAGGGTAAAGGGTTTATCCCCAGGGGAAATAGATAAGAATTATTGTTCCCTTATCACTTCACCAACTTTGGGAAGATTTTCCAGCTGGTTGTCCGCATGGAGCTTCTTGCCTTTTTGGGGGCCAGATGGGTTTGTCCTTTACGAAGATTGAGGGATTTAGTAAGAAAAATCAGGATGCACGAGGCTGCCAGCAGGTGGCAGCAGGAGCACATGTTATGATGAGAAATGCCAAGCAAACCTCGCCTGGACCAGGGAAGTAGTTTGGCTTATACTCTGTGGTTTTCATCTTGACTGCCACTGAGAAACCAAGAAATAATAATTTCATGGATAACGTAACAGTGAGGTATCCTGGACAAAGCACAGGTATTAGATCCAGACACTCCTGAGTCTGAATCCCGAGGTAGCCATTTTAGGCAATTATTGACATCTCTGCCAAATGTTCTCATCT